TGATTTTAAATTCTTTTATGGGGGGAATACAAGTTGAAACATTATAGTTATTATATCAATCACATGTGATTAATAACTATCAAACAAATGGATTTACTATACTTTTAACTCTTTTATTCAGCAAACTACCTCAAAAATTTTATCAAACTCTTTTACATACGAAACTTTTTATCAAACTTGTTCTTATATGCTAAACCTTTTCTTTTTAACTCTTTTGAACTTATAAATTGTCAAAACCATGTCTAATGCATATATAGTTATATAAGTAAGGTTGGAAGGACTTAGGACTGATAACTCACTTTATTTCCTATTCCTTGTTTGGTTGTGGACTTAGAGTACCCTGTTGTTTGTCCGAGTGTCGTTTGATCCTTAGTTATATATTATGTATATATGTATAGACATAAAAGCTTTTATCTCAGTTCAATCCCTTTGGGTAGCAAAGGTATACAAACATGTTCATTTATACAAACAACTCTACTAGTAAACTATAATAGGTATAGTTTAGGAAGTCACTACTTACTATTTCTAAGACAATGAAACATATAAAGAGTCAGTTCATACATGAGTCAATACATACTATAAATAGAAACAGATAGAGAATACTATAACGAGAAACAATACATACTACAAAGAGAAACAAATAGAGAATACTAAACGAGAAACAATACATACTATACACTATACAAGAGAACATATTATGGTGAGAAACAAAGTGAACATACTACATACTAGACAGAGAGAACATACATTACCCTAGTAAATACAATATATATACAAGAATACTATAACATAAATATGAGTCACTTCTTCCAGGCATGGCATCACTGCTATGGCTCGTTTTGTAACCAGAGTCTCCTGGAGGGAGAGCGTGAATTTGTGTATAAATCTATACGGGACTGACCATCCTACACCTTGTTTCTAGCTACACTGGGACCTGCAGGTCTACGGGTGACGAATGTCATACCATTTCGACGTCTTCGAGCGTCGTGTTTTACCAAGTAGATCAAGTATGGTTACAATTATATCACATTATACCTTAATTAAAAATTGGCTTAAGGTAGTTAGTATAGCAGTAGTCATTATAATACAACACTACAGTACTTTATTATTTTCCCATTATATTCATATTGTGATCTTCTCTCATAAACGGTAATGTAAAAACATTTGTTAATGATAGTCATACTTGGGAAAAATACACACTTTTACAAGAAACAAACATACAGAACATTTGATGCCTTGGTAGAAGGCTACTTTTAGTAGAAAATATAGGATTTTCTAGGAGATACAAACATTTACTACAAACTTTTACAAACTTATACATCAAACACTTACAAACATTTTCATACAAACAATGACACTAAAATGCTTATGAACTCACCAGCTTTAAAGCTGATCAACTCTTTCAAAATAACTTGTGTTCTTAGGTCATCAGTAGACAGGTACCGATGCCAGGTTTTGAGAAGATGGAGCGTTCAAGACTCATCTCTTATTTTGATTCATATTTTGGTGTCTTATAAACTATACAAAACACACTTGTATTAAATTATATTATTAATGCAATGGATGATGTTGTTGCTTGTTTACTATTATGCTTTGCTGTGATACTGTACATGACGTCCTCCGCCCCGGAACGTTTCCACCGTTCAGGTTTTGGGGTGTGACAGCATCCACCCATGTTTAGGATATTTAGTATTTTGGGATAGTACTCTGATCACTATTTTCACATTAGCATAAATTTCTATTGTAGATATGAATATTTGATGGATTTGGTTAACTTAAAAATGAAAATTGTTATTCATGATTTTTGGGATGTTACAAATAGGACTATGATTGATTGTGAGCACCGGTTGGTGAGAGTTCGAACCCCTAGTGGGGGAGAACTGGTAATTCATGGAGAGGGTTCTTATCATGGATTGACTCTCTATTTAGCTGCGAGAGCTACGAGATATCTTCATCATTACGAGAGCTAAGAGATATCTTCGTCAAAGATTTTCTTGATTTCTGGCATATGTGATGGATACTTGGGTTGAGGGGGGTAATGACCATGAGTGATGTGTCCATTATATGGGAATTTCCCGATGTATTTCCTTAGGGCTTACCTGTAGTGCCTCCCAAGAGGCAGTTTGAGTTCTGGATCAATTTGGTTCTCGGTGCAGCCCCGATTTACAATGCACCATATCATTTAGCACCTCCGGAGATGCAGGAGTTGTCAACGTAGCTGCAGGAGCTGCTGGACAAGGGATTTATCAGGCAGAGTAGTTCGCCATGAGGAGCACCAATCTTGTTCATGAAGAAGAAGGATGGGTCACACTGGATGTATATTGATTACCGGGAGATGAATAAGCCAACAATGACGAACCAATATCTGCTCCTGAGGATCAATGATTTATTTAAGCAATATCAGAGTGCATCCTGGTCCTCTAATATTGATCTGCAATCGGGATACCATCAGATGAGTATCAGATACGAGGAAATGTAGAAGACGACCTTCAACACTCGTTATGGTAATTACGAGTTTGTGGTGATACTTTTCGGGCTCACCCATTCACCAAAAAAGTTCATGGATTTCATGAACAGGGTGTGTAGGCCAATGTTGGATCGATCTGTGATTGTGTTAATGGATGATATTTTGCTCTATTCCAAGACTAAGAAGCAGCATGAGGAGCATCTGAGGGAAGTTCTAGAGACCATAAGGAGGGAGAAACCTTATGCCAAGCTCTCCAAGTGTGCATTCTGGTTGCGCGAGGTACAGGTTTTAGGGTATATCATCAACCAGAAGGGTATATTGGTTGATCTGGCCAAGATTGAGGCAATGATGCGGTGGGAGCTTCTGAGGATACCCTCTAAGGTTCATAGTTTTCTTAGTTTAGTGGGCTATTATCGAATATTTATTCAGGATTTCTCTAAGAGTGTTGTACCACTGACTGGCTTGACGAAAAAGAATGTTTCTTTCTAGTGGGAGCCTGATGAGCAGGCAACTTTCGAGACTCTGAGGCAGAGATTGTATGAGGCTCCGATTCTCACTCTTCCTGAGGGCATGTATAATTTTATAGTTTATTGTGATGCATCGATTTCAGAATTAGGAGCAGTACTTACATAGCAAGGCCACGTGATTGCTTACGCTTCGAGGCAATTGAACATTCATGAGATGAACTACCCGACACATGATTTTGATCTGGGGGCGGTAGTTTTCGCCCTCAAGATTTAGATACATTATATGTATGTGGATAGGTGCACTATTTATACCAATCATAAGAGTCTAAGGTATTTGATGGATCAGCCGAACGTGAACATGAGGTAGCAGAGATGGTTAGGCGTGGTAAATGATTATGATTGTGAGATATTGTATCACCCTCGGAAGGCCAATGTTGTGGCCGGCGCTTTAAATATCAAGGCCATAAGTACACCCATCGAAGATCTGTGTTTGAGGATGGTTATAGTTACTCCACTGTTGTATATGAACAAGAAGGCTCAAGCAGTCAAGTGGAATGGTATAAAATGGAAAATTGGAAAAATGAAAGGATCAGGGGTTAGATTTCATTATTTGTCCAGGATAGTAGTAGGTTACTGACTTAGTGTAGCAAGGTGTGGGTTCCTGTTACTGGTGGGGTTAGAGGAGGCTCATAAATCGAAGTTTTCAATCTTTGTCCATGATTATATCATGTGCTAATAACACTTTATGTGATTGGTTTCGTTATCTAAGAAATAATCAATAATATATAAGTAGTGTTTAGTGAATTGGGGAAAATTAAGTTGTCATAATTAACTAAATTGTCCAATAAAAGGCGGCTTTAAAAGATTAAGAAAATATGATGAATGAATATGTACCAACTCATATCGTAGTAATACATTAATACAATTCTTAATTATGCTCTAGCGGTATCATGTATTTGAAAAACTATTCCCTGAGAGTTAAGTTTTAAGTCTCATGGTGGGCAAATATGTTGTGTCGGAGTAGGATTTAATTATAGAGGGTGTTAAGCGTTCTAAAAAATTAATTATGAGTTTATTTTTCATGTCAAATCAATAAAAACAATATTTTAGAAACCTTCTTCAATGTATAAACTTTTAGGATAGTTAAACATTTACACCGTCTATTTGAATTTATAGATAGAACCAAAACCATAATCCCTAAATCACATTTTAAATATTTTATAAAATCACATTTTATAACTATCACCTTCGTGGCTCACTACTTTATAGATAGAACCAAAACCATAATCCCTAAGTTTATTTGAATTTGAAAAGTTACATGTGTCAGCTTTGAGTTTTATAAAGATACAGTCATTTGCAAATCTAAAGAGAAACAATCAATGTTATCTTACAAACTACGTACTTATCTATCAGGCTGTGCATTTTGGGGTGGAGGGATGATGTGTATTTTTTATATACTACATTTATATTTATAAGTCCTATTAAATCTCAACTAGTTTTAAATACAAATAGAAAGTATAGCTAGTCACGAAATAATAGTGTTTAAGGTAAGAAAGGGTTGTCGAACACTTAGAGAACGAGTATGATTCAAATAAACATACATGCTACTATTTAAACTGAAAAATACAATAAAAGATGGGGTTTTCTGATTTTAAAGTTTATAAACATCTAATGGTAACTGTTAATAATCTTATGGCAAAGAATTATTTAAACTAAACAGAACGACACAAATAACGAATTAAAGTAGAATATAAATAATACTTTCATTTAGATTCGATTCACATCTCCCCTATGGTTGATTTCGTTACAGTGCAATGATTTATAAGTTGGATGCCAAATTTGATAATGACTAGTTATCTTAATCGAATTTCTTAGTGCAATGATTTATAATTTGGTTGCCAAATTTGATAATGACTAGTTATCTTGATCAGATTTCTTAGTGCTAATAGTTAATGGATAACTAACACAATGATCATACAATTAGTTATCAAAAAAAAAAAATCATAACTCTAACATGCAAAGTGAATGATCAATCAAACATAAATAATAACCAAACTAAATTAGATCCAATAACATTGAAATCAATGCATAATCTTGATGTTTATCTACTCTAAACAAAAGTAAAGAGTTTTTTTACCCATAACTAAAGTAGAAAAATAGATAAAAACAAAGTAAATTAAACATAATTAAACAAAGCAAAACTGAATGATTAAATGCATTTTGACTCAATCTCTTTAAATCTTGCTCCAATATCGATCTCTTCGAATCTTGATCCAATATCAATCTCTAGTCTCCACAGGGTTAGGGTTCTTTGGTCATCAAAGTTCGAATGATAATCGTTGTATCCTTCGGATAATGAATGAGGTTCGTATTTATAGAGTTTCCAAAATACACACCAACACGTCATGGTGAGGTGATTATACAGTTGTGGTGGCGACTCCTTCGTGTACCTTCCAAGTAATCATTTTTGGACTCTATCTGGTATTCATATCAATCATTACATACCGCACCATGGCAAAGGTGTTATTGTGCTGTGGTGTTCTCTTTAGTTGACTTTTTTTTTTCTTTGATGAATGTATCCGGTTCTCCAGTTTCAGCAAAACATTTCAGCTCATTTTCTCCCAAGCATGTCTTCGCTACTATGAAATGAAATTTAGACATTATAAGTAATAAATATCCACAATTATGACTAAAATATAACTAAAAATACTAAGATATCACATAAATTATAGGGAAAACCTTAGAAAAACCAAATACATTTTCATCAAATCCTTAAATAAGCCACTATATTATTCTTTTATACGTTAAAACCTTATATTTTTAAAGTGTCTAATTTAAGACTTGGAGACTTTGAGTTCAAGTAAGCCCTGGATAGCAAAAAATGCTAGGTAATCGATTCTCAATGGTTTGATGTATACAATTCACTAGATTAAAATTTTTCAAAAAATATAAGGGTTTTGATATACTAAAAAAATAATGTAGTGGTTTTTTTAGTGCTTAGATGAAAATAAATTGGATTTTTCTAAGGTCAAAAAGACTTAAATAAGACATGCGGAAAATATAAGGGTTTTAGTGCACTAAAATATAATATAGTGGTTTCTTAAGAATCATATGAAAATATGTTAGGTTTTTATAAGGTTTTCCCTAAATTATATGACGATATATAATGATATCAAGGGGTTGCCACAAAATTTCAAAATTGTAATTTATATGATAACCATATTTTTGAATGGGATAGATTTTCTTATACCAAGTAATAATCAAATCACACCTCTTTATGTGCTCTCGTGTATATAATAAAACCCCAGCCGTTCAACACCAAGAATTATGAGAATCAGGAACACATTTCACATTTCCAGCCACCACAACAATGACAATAGTTTTCTTGCTTTTGTCACCAAATGGAGGATTCAGATCTAAATAGTAAATAACAACAATGTCATTATAAATTTAATTAGCAGTAAAACGAAAGATTAAAATAGGAACAATAACATACCAGACACCATAGAAATAGATGATATTAAAGGGCCATATGATCCTCTACTTGGGACTGCTGTTGTAGCTTTTCGAGCATATTGGAAACGAATGTCTAATGTTATGTTACTGACATTGACGTATTTTATTTCTTTTTTAAGGGCCTTATCAACCCTACACACTTCAACCGTGATGTCAAAATTCCTCAGTATACTTTGCCCCCTACAAAAAGGGAAAAAAGGAAAAAGGAAAACTAGCTAAGGCACTTGCAAAGGTCTCTGCATTGAATCAAAGATCGGAATTAACTTGGTGCTTATGCCATGAAATAAAATAAACATTCAATCTAAACAACACATGTGGGTATGTATAAGATTACATTTTCTCCAGATCTAGTCCTTTGAGATATGGTATATCACCTTCCAAATCGTTGAAACTGAGATCTCTGTGAGTGAATATAGATGGAGAAAGAGTATATCATGATGTTTGAACAACCACTAAAGATAATCACAAAGAAATGCTAAAGATGATATAGTCTAAAATAGGCTTCATTTAATCAAGAAACAGAAGAGGGAGAATTATTACAGATGCCTCAATTTGGACATTTCTGATATAGAATCAGAAATCCTCCAGCATCTCAATATCCTGCAATTTCGCCCAAAGTTCTTGAAGATATAAAAATCCAATCTCAAAATTTATCAACTTTTTAATAGATTACTAAACCGTATGATGACTTACAATATTTCCATGTTTGTCATGCTACTTAGGTTCAGCAACTGAGATCTATTTCCATTTAAATCACTTACGTAATGTAACTTTGCTAGAGACGATGGAAGAACACTCTTAAGATCCTGTCCTTTGAGAGATCTGTTCATATATAAAGCAAGTTTTGATCACTTCAATTTTATCTTTATACAAAAATTACACGTTTGCTAATTAAGCCACAACAAAATTAAATAAAAAATGAAATCATAGAACTTATACAGATGCATTTCACTAGTCCACTTGAGATTTCCATCGCACGCATTTAGGCTAAAATCAAAGTGACGTTTCCCCATCTGTTTGGCTATTTCCTCAAGAGTACTATTATTCACTGCAGGATAAGATCAAACAATCTCAGTTGAGTTATTCTTCACAAATACATATCAAATAACTCGGAATCTTGAAAAAAGATAAGAAACGAAACATACAACAAAAGAATTGCCTTCGCCCTTCCTTCATCAAGAGGAAGTTCTTCCGCTTGTGCTTGAAAGCAAGAGAAAAAAACTGTTGATAACATGAGGTAATTACAACAACTCCAATCTTAATGTTTATAATGTGATTCAACTCTCTTTATTCCATGACATATAAAACATGCTGCATATGCACAATCTTCAGTCAATTTAAAAGCAATGTCTAATTAATGCATCATTAATTGTCACTCACCAACACAAGACAATAGACAAGATGGCAGAAAATTCAAATCCAAAGTACACTGCTCCAAATTTATTGTAGAAACATAAAAAGCAGATGGTCATTCACCTTAAAAGATCATCCCAATAAATATATCGTCCTATGAAGGAAACAAGACAATATGGAGGATACAGCTACCTACGTACGATTTCTTACTCATACAACTGAACCTAATGAACAGTGGCGAAAGACAGCAACACACATTACATTCACAAATTAAAAAAATAAGGTGGCATCAATGTAGGTCTTAACTATATTTTTCAAAAAATTTGATAACCACCAAATCTTAGTAAAAAAAAATAAGTTTAAAATCTTTCAAAAAATCGAAACCCTTTCAAAGGGTTACCGTTGAACTTTCCTTCCCATGAGTCTAGTCTTCAATCTCACACTCTCCTCCATCTCCTGTTGGCCCTTCGTTGAGTTCTTGAGTGGTTTAATCGCTGTGAAGGCTTTGCCTCTCCACCTATGAACAACAGTCTGTCTTTGTTCATTATTGAAACTAGGGAAAGATGGAGTAAAAGTAATTGATATCTGACAAAAAGTAAATGTACTTGAACCTAACCTGTTTATACTTTATACCATCTCTTCTTGTATGTTGCTTTTATAAATACTATCGTGTTTCATTTGTATGCTATTATTAATGATTTATTTATATATTTAAATTTTACGTTTGTATCTATTTGAGAATTCTAAATTTCTCTAGATTTTATAAACAGGAAACATGTTTTTCATTTGAAATATAAAAATTGGTTCCTGATAACGGGAAAAAATCAATTTGCTACACACATTCTCATTTTGGCTAGTTTTAGCGTAGTACAACATTGTTGGATTTCTTACATGGCTCCGGCCCTACCAATGAACAAATAAATTTCTATGAAGATGTGGGTTAAATTATAAGTCTACAATTTGCAAGGTGTTTATTTTGTCATGTTCATTTTACTATCATATAGGTGCCACCTTACTTTGCAACACAACTTACAATTCTTGCCATTCAGAAGATGGTTTGTCACCTTACTTTTGTTTTTCATTTTGATACTAGTATTAATTTAAGAGAATATATTTTATGTATTCATTAAAATTAAAAAAACAAGTACATTTGAAATTAAATAATAAAATAATAAGCTTAAAATTAAATAAAATGCAAGACATTTGAAATTAAAATATAAAAAAAACATATAAAAATAACACAACTTCATTCGACATATTGATGTCATTTTTCACACCCCTTCACAAATTGCCAAAACTTTATATATGGGAAATGTTTGTTTTTTTCTTGGCAGAAAATTTCAAGAGCGTTATTTAAAACTATTCTATTATTTTTAGTGAATTGTTGAATCACGTCTCACTCTATTAAAAAACATGAGTTCTACCACTTTGTTCGTGTTTTTCCATTTGTTGAAGATTCGATCTTTACTTCGGTGGCGACCATGCCATATTTCGTTGTTGAATCGTTGGGTGATTCTGTTTCGAAAAAACACTCAGTTACGTAGTAGTTTCCATTTGGGTCTTCATTTACATCGACTCATGCGCGGGCTAAAACTACATTATATCGTGGTCCGATGAGCCATTTTGAGATATGGAAATTGAGAAAGGTTTATGTAGGAGTGTTAATTTATGATACGACACGACAAAAATATACGAAACGAAACGAAATCAGGACGAAATCAAAATTTAAATTCGTGTTCGTGTCGTTTTCGTGTCAAGATTAAAAAACACGATGTCGTGTTCGTGTTCATAAATCGACACGAAACTGACACGATTAAGCATGTGGTTGTCGTGTTTTTCGTGTTTTTCGTTTTTGTCATGTTATATATCTTTAAGTATGAACGAAATACACTAATCGTTATGTAATATTATATTTTTCGTGTCGTATCGTGTTGTCGTGTTTTAATTGGTTCGTTTTCGTGTTAATGAAAAAAAACACGATATCGTGTCGTGTCGTGTTCGTGTTATACAAAACTTTGTCGTGTCGTGTCGTGTAGACAAAAACACGACACGACTGCCCGATTTGATAACCCTAGGTTTATGAGTGTTGATTGTTTGGGAGAGATGAATTTTAAAGGATCGAAAGTGATGAAAAATGAAGAAGATTGTTGGTTTTAGTTGAAAATAGGTTTAAAACTTGAAAAAAAAAAGTTAGTTTTTTTTTTTGAAAAATAGGGAATTCTTAAAAAAATGTGGTAAAAAAAGAAAAGAAATAATAAATTTTTTCTCTCACTTTAGCTTGGTAATGAGTTCATCCACTGATCTCATTATGTCGAGATGAGGGGGCAGTGTTTCTCGAGCTACATCAACTTCTTCAATGGCAATGTCTTAGTGAATGTGCATTATGAAATTTACAGCATGATAGTTTTCAAAAGGAAACAAATTTGAATTTATTAGCCTAAAAATTGGAAGTCTCGACTTGATTCTTGTAAGGGTTATGATAGCCTGAAAATAGAGTACGCCTAAAACCTCAAGGGCTATATTAGCTTTTAGCTTGTGACAAAACGTTGTAGTTTAAACAAAAATTTGTTTAACAATATGAACGTTTAACTTTTAATTTAAACAAAACGCTTCAAATCTAAAATTTAAAACGTTTAACAAAACATTACTGAGGTTTTGAAATCAATTTCCATATAATTACCCTTAAAAATATATTTATATTTTAAACAATTATCCTTTTATATAATTTTATATATTTCAAAAGTTTCCAACTACAGCTTCCCGTTATGCGCTACACGCTACCAGCTACCCGCTTCTAACTAACAATTATTTTTACCAAACACGCCTTATAAAATAAGAAATCAAACGTGATTTCATAAAATATATATTAAAAAAAAAAAAACTATATATAATAAAAGGATTACAAATTTCTTGTTACTAAATTTAATATAGTTTAATATTTTTAACGGCTTAAAATCCTTATTTTAACCGCTCAAGAAAACCTATAAATAAGAATGATTCAATTAATAAAAATTTAATATAATAAAGTAGTAAAAAATAAAATTACATGGTCTTCTGATTGTCTTGTAAAACAATTTATATTATAAACCTAATGATAAATGCAAAGCCAATATCTAAAATATATGTTATTAAAGAGAAATTAAATATCGTATTATTTATTCTTGTACTTTTTTAATTATTTTTCTTCTATCATCTTTCTAATTTAAAATTATGATATTTATTATATTTAATAAAATTAATAATTTAAAAAATATTAGAGGGATGTATAAAAAAAATTAATAGAAAGATATTTGAGAAACAATGACATATAATTTTTAAAACTACAACCCATATAAAATTCCCAAGGCTAAAAGGAATCGTAATGTTTTTATCTATGAAAAAAATATGTCACATAAGCATCAAGTAAGTTTTTATATTTTTGCTATAATTTACCTATGAGTGTGGTGTGATGATGTTTTTACCTATTAATTTTTTTCGTGTCTTTTTTATATATTAACTAGGTATGAGATCCGTGTATTACACGAGTTTTATTAAAAATTTAATATAAATTATTAAGAATTACATGTTTCTTTTTGTAATAATTTTACATAAATACAAAATTCTATAATGAATAAAGTAACTATTTTAATATATTTACCCTAATAAAATGGTAAATATTTGTAAAATGATGTAAACATTAAACATGAATTAATTAAAACTTGCTACATATAAAAAAAAAAAAAAACAAAAAAAAAAAAACAAAACGATGAATAAGTAAGTTAATGTATAATAATAAAAGCTAACTATTAAAATATTGACACTTATTTTTATGAAGTACAAATTTCCAAAGACTTCCTTAAGTACAACATTAGATGTTGTATTTGTAAGTTTACCATCTTTATTTAAAATTAACATCTTTAATCCAACTTTACTTTTAACTCTCGACAATACAACATACAGTTGTCTGTGAGTGAATACTGGTTGTCTCAAAACAACCCCACCCTCAATAGTGACTGTCATTGACTTTTATTTATTGTCATTGCAAAACATACAACCAGTGGAAATTCTCGTCTTTGAAATATGAAAGCAATCCTTTTATCTGAAGGCGTCAAAGATATTTTTAGAATAAACGTACGGTTTCCGATATTACTTCCAGATATTATTTCAGCTTCTATAATACGTTTACCCAATGCAATAACCCGTAACCTCGTGCCATTGCACAATCCGCATTAACTTTGGAATGTGTAACAAAAATATACTCCTTTTTATTTCAATTTGAATATATATTCCAAGTTAGTGTGGATTAGTTTGTTTTGGTGACACGCAGGGGAGAAAAGGAATGAGTTTGCTGTTTTGAAGTTTTTGTATTATAATATGAAAAAAAAAAAAGCAATATGCTTTTTCTAAATAATATCAAACCCGACATGTTTATTTAGGAGTGTTCAGGTATAACCAAAAAATGTTTATTAGGATTGATTAAGTAATTCATTTGCATGTTCTGATATCGTTATTAAATTTATAAGTTTGATTACTAAATGAAAATGTCATATATTTAGAAATCGAATTATTAATAACAAAAAAACCATACGTACATAGACATACACCATATTTATCATACACACAGTAACAATTTAAAAGTAAATAAACGACAACAATTAATAATGAAAACATAATCCATACTTAACATAAAACGAAAGTAAACAGAATCTCTGAAACCAACAAAGAAAGTATTTTTAACAAACCATAAAACCTCAAAATTGTTGTTGGATTGGAATGTTAAATAAAAAATGGAAAATGGAAAATTGTTTGAAACATTAATAAGATGTCACTTCTCGACTTTAAGAATCAATAGTTGTGTGGACACAACACTTCCCTTGACACCAATGGATTTTTTTGAAGGTTTTGTTGATGACTCACAAATAGTATCTTCAAAATCGTAAACATCAACAAGTTTACGTTTCGCATTGGTAGGTGGTGAAAGGAGGCTAGTGGTGTCGTGGTTGGTTGGACTCATTGAAATAGTATTTGGAAAAGTAGAGATAAGAATATTATCAGCAACAAAGGAAGCAGAACCCTTAAATGCAAGAATTATTATATGTTAAATATTGAGATAGGAGTAATGTGATACAACAAAAAGAAAAAAAAAAAACCAGGAAATTATACCTTAAAATCAGTTGTATCCTGAGAGTTAAAATCTGAGACCACGACATTAACAGACTCAGTTTCAGTGTCCTATATAACAGTTTGTAAATTGTATTTTAGATTGGTAAATATAAACTATATAAAATGTAATATGTAAATGGATTAAGATTTAGTTGTAGTTAAACCTGTTCAATGCGGTTTGCGGTTTGCTTTTGAAGCTTCTCGAGCGCATAAATTATGTCAACGTTATCACTTATCTTTGATATGTTGTAACTACGGATGTATTTTCTTCCAGAGGTAAAGCCTTTAACTATAATTTTGAAAGCCATTTTTCTACCAATAAGTTCATTAATCTCAATAGGAAAAACACAATGATAATAGACAATTACATTCCTTTTATTGATTCCATTCAATCACTACAAACAAATATAACAACTTTCAAAGAAATAGGAAAACACA